CAAAAAGAATTACACATATTCATAACACCATAAGCTTAGTGATATCGTTGAACAAAAATGTTCCCTTATTATTTTTGCTGAATTGGTTAGATGTCAGTTCAAAACCAGATGGTTTAACGATCAATGTATTGTATACAAACAGGATAGAAAAATCAACCCAACCCTCAACTTCACGTCTCATAAAAGAAAAGCTTTTTCACCTTTATTGCCTTGTCAGATGCCAACCTTTGACCCTAGAGGAAATCAGTCACTTCTTCTCTAACATTCTGTCCGTGAACACCAATTTGCTACTTTCAAAGGTTAAACCTTGTGTTTTTTCTCCTGTTAAAGTCTTGCGAGACAAAAGGCAACACGTGTGCTATCGTCTGGAAAGATTTGCAGACCTGCAAATGACTTACAGTCAGTCGTACATCATCATAAGCGTCTACTGAAATCCTCAGAGAGATGCTCTTCCCTTGGTCGGAAAGATGAAGATGCTCCTGACCTTTGACCTCGTCTCATGTTGCCTTTTCAAAGAACACTGTGCTGACTTGTAAGGTATGAGGTACAAAACACGTTGAGGTTAGAAGACCTGGGGTCAAATATTTTAAAGTAGCATGTATGTAATTACTTAAAAGGAGTTTTAGAATCTGCAGCACAAGCTAAGATGGTGCTTCATACTATTTAGCTTTTTTTTTTACATCCAGTTAGAATTTAGAATACAGTAGATCTTCAAAACTATTTGTGTCAAACTGGCAATGCTGTACATTTTGGGTTAATACGATCCCTTGTAGTGTTTCTGGCAAAAACCGCAAATCACCCTCTGTTTGAAACCAGAGCCAAGTCTGCTCTGATTGGTTAGCTTGCTGGCTCTGTTGTAATTGGTCAACCGCTTAGAGATTTCCCATTTCAATATCGTATTCTTTATTTGTCCTAAAACCAAAAAACACTATTTAGCATTAAGGAATATTTATTTGATTTGTATAATCCTGAGTTGTGGAGGTTGAGCTTTGAGAGATGAATGTGCTGTGCTATTTTGAGCAGGACCTGTGGAAAGGTATTTTCATGGAAAAGGTTTCACATCTTCACATTTCTGCTGAGTCCTGAGGGAGTCTTGTTTCCATGTTCTCACTTCATCCCAGAGGTGATTTGTAGAGTAAATAAGCCCTAAGTTATTCTGAGACCACACTGGGACTGAGTTGTAAAACTGACCATAACATGTTGTAAATTAGCCGAGTTAACTGTGCAGCAGGGAGGGATATTACATGCAAATCACCGCCTACTTACTTTCATATCCCTATTATTGTATATGATCGCTACCCTTTTCTGTTTATTTGTTCATACATTTCTTCCTGTAAATGAGCTTTTAAAATGTATTTTTGTTCTATATATTTATTATTTTCTCCTTTTTTCTAAGATGAACTTCGATACATTGGAATTTAACATTTTAAAATAAAACTTAACTTCTGAATTACTGTAAGTGTCTGGGTTTTTAAAGGTCACATTTTCTGCATTTATTACATTTTTCAGCCTTTTCTCATTCATTCTCTTCACAGTCTCTACAAAAAAAGGCCAATATTAAAGCTGTTTAACGTAAAATGTGGCTAAATCTCTTTAACATTAAATGTTATTCCCATGTGCATAATTTAAGTAGTCTTTTCATTATGAACTACTTGTGGAAGTAATCACTTAAGAGGTACTTCAGTAGGTTTTCATCAATGCAAATTTTAAACAAGCGTGAGGAAGTGTTTGAGATGAAGTTACGTTTATTTTAACACAAAACATTTAAGTGTAGCTCTGCAGATTCAGTTATGACATATTTTCCTCACTGTTGAAATCAAAACTCAACTGGTCACCCAAACTCAACGTGGCCTATCCTCTTTCACCAGCACATGTCACTCTTGCACACATGGTTCCCTTCACACATGAAACATTCCTCGCTAACGACTCACTGGAGGTTAGCAGCAGTTAGCTGGGGAATGTGTTTTCCATTTAAACCGCGGTTCACTTAGAAACTGATACTGGGTCAGAACCTGTTGATGCCATTTCTGATCTGAATAAGCAGAAACAGATCAGGAACAAGAACGCAGTCGGGGGAAAGATTGTGACCAACTTAAATCAAGTGGATTGGGAGCAGAGTGAAGCACAACGTTTGTCTTTCTCATTATAGTTTAATTTAGGACATTTTGGAACTATTTGTAGTGGCATGAATATGTGGCATGCATTTGTTTTGTTGTACTCTATTATACATTCATATAGTATGTACTGTAGTTTGTAGTAACTGCCATATATTTCATATGCTTTGATTTTATAGTTTTTTAACTAGAACAAAATGTATATTTATTTATATATATACTATAATGTTAGTTTTTAAATAAAAAACAAGGTACTACTTTACTAAGGCCTGCCAAGCTGCATACTCTAAATATCAGTATATACATTAATACCAAGCATGTAGCAAATACAGCTATCTGCCCAGGTATGAAATGATAATGATTTTAGTATTCATCCTTGCACATGCACTGTATATATACTGTATTCAGTGTATTTATTCTTATCAGTGTATTTATTCTTATTTATACATTTGACATCCATTTATTTTGTACATACTGCTGATAGATGTGTATTTAACTGACTGTTTGCACTCTGGTTAGACCCTCCTAATTTCGTTACACTGTGCTTGCATTATGTAATGACAATAAAGTAATCTAATCTAATCTAAAATACGCATACAGCTTTGTAACTTTTCTTATTATAGTTCGGCACTTGGCATCGTTAAATTGATTCATGTCTTGCTCTCAAATGTCAATTTACTTCTTGTGATCAATAAAGTATTAAATTGTTCTTGTGTCATGCATAAATGAAACAGGAAAATAATTTACTTTCGTCCATAAAATAGACTAATCCATCACAATGTTTTCCTACTTGTAAAACCAACACTGACTCGAGCCAAAAGTGACATAAACATATGAAACCAGTGGGAACGAGTGCCCCAGCATGTGTCATTTCATGCACCATTACTTTGCCGTATCACTCACCAGAGTGAGCACTAAGTCTAATTGCGTTGACAGGCTGTTGGTTTCTATTATTATAGGATTGTGTTGCCATTGCCATTTTGACCACACGCAATGCCATAATTCGTGCAGTCAGTTTTATGAAACTTAAGAGGAACTATAGTCCATGCTTCTCTGCCCCCTTTTCAGACCCCCTTCTTCCTCAATCCATCCTTAGGCTGCAACTGTTGAAGCTTCCAGTAATCAGTCTGTCGTGTTGGCTTGGATTACATGTCAGAAGGACTTTAGTGGCTCTTGAGGAAAATGCACAGACCCTCTCAATCCTGAGGGCAATATACAAAAGAATCCAGGGCATTGGCCTATAAGGACCGCTGGAGGTGTTAAATAGCCTACTTAATATATGAATAAGTCATTACAAAATGAATAATCACAAGAAAAAGTGTAACATATGAACCAAAAACATGTACATGTAGCCTATATCATTTATGAAATCATTAGAACATATCATTTTGAAATCTTTAATTTCATCCTTCTAGGATAATTGAACTTGTGTTTACTGCATTATATAAACATTATTTCTTTTTCATAGAAACCCTATTTAATGTAACTTTGTTTTTATAATGTCAAATTTGTATTTATTAGGGAATTTATATTTTAATTATTATATTGTCCTACCTTATCAAGATTAAACATGCTACAGTACAGCTACAGTTCATGGTTAACTATAGACTATTTTAATGTTACCATGGATTATTTACTTTACATCAATATGAAGAGTTAGTGTTAACAGCAGGCTAAGTCAGGAATACTTCTCCAGCATTTTGATTTTAAAGCTGTTTCTCGTAGTTTAAAGATTTAAATGTGAAGAGTTAAAGATTTAAAAATGGAAACTGACACACATACAGTTTTTGTAGGTGCTCAAGCCAAAAGGAGCTACTGTAGCTAACAATGCTAACATGGACTCTTCACTTAATGCTAAGGATGTCCAGGCTCACCACCTAGTTCAGCTATAGTTGCTGTGTTGGTAGCATGAGAGATTTTTCAACAGCAAAGTGGAGAGTCCTTTCCTGTCAGACTGAGAGACAGTGAGCTAAAGGACTCTGAGTGTTATCTCAGTGGGTCTCAAACGGTTTGGTCACCATTAATGTAAACAATTATTTCCGAGGCACACGTTTATATGATCATTAGAGTTATAAAAAAATAAGAGAATAAATGAAAAACAGGTATGAAATACTATGACAGTAAAACAAGAATAAAGTTTAAGAGGGTGATTTGTAAAATATCCATAAAGAAAAAGTAAATCTGTTTACAGTTCTGTTTCATCTGGGTGTTGAGAGATGTATCCATAGATCTCTTCATTTTGCTCTCAAAGTGCACCAGATTGATGCTTTTAACTTCAATATTTAAAAATAAATCTTCCCGGGGGAGCTTGCCCCCGGACCCCCCTATGTGAGGTCCACACACACCTATAAAAATAGCACTTTACCCCTGCTTACACCTATATGCCGTGAGCTGATTATCGAGCCTTCATTGTAACAGTCACACTGTGTATTTGCGTGGGGAGTGTTGCAGTAGAGAATTCCACTGTAGCGACCGGTACATTAATGGGAAACCCTAAATGTTTGAGCACCCTCTATGAAACGTCAAGCTACCCCACAGCACCCCAAAATAAATATCTGGCGCCGCCACTGAGCCTGACTATTTGTGTGGGGGGGCCCGACTTTTTTTTTCTCCTGACAGAAAAAGTTTGAGAACCACTGAGTTCGTTGATGGAGAATAATGTGAACATCATTGTAGTTGCTATGGCTAAAAGGAGCTAATTGGCTATGGAGGCAGTTGCATCTGCTAGTTTACAGACGCAGGGGGTAAAAAAAAGAATAGAGAAAGAAATAGATGATTTATTTATCTAATGGTTGTGTGTGTTAAGATTGAGTTTATGCTCCTGAAGACGCAACTGCATGCACTTTAATACAGTGTGTGCATTGTTAGATCAATACAGGGCATAAGTGGATTCAAGAGCTTTATTATTGGTTTAACTTGTCTGATGTAGGAGTTTTGCAAATTCACATTAAGTATAGTACAGTATATGTATTGGTATACACGGAACATTCATTATTGTACAATTCAATCCTGATGCACTGTCTGACTTGCTTCTTGAGCTACATTACCAGGGCTTTTTAAAAACACTATCCTCCAAACAGACTTTAGTTCCCTGCATCTTCCCTTTAACCCCTGCTGCAGGACTGCTTTGTTACTCTCAAGTGCAAAATCATGTTGTGTCACCTTCAGTTGGTTTTAACTGTACACACAATTCAATGTCTGGTCACTAAATAAATCTCTCAAATCTTTGAAACAAAACAAATACTGCCCAAGGAAAATAAGATGTATCTTCAGTCACAGTTCACATCTCTGAAGACAGTGTTGAGTTATTGTACAGGCTTTCATGGAAGGTGGTTCTGTAGTAATGGCTAATAAAGTACATGTCTGTCAAATTTCCCATCATTACGGATTATCTGCCAGAATTATATTTAATTTTGTGTAACTCTGTCTGCCTGAATTTACATCGATAAGGCTGTAGTGGTATTGTTCTTTTCATGTATACTCTCAATCTAAATGGCATGTTTTCCAAAATGTCATACTGCAAAATGATGGACTTTCTTTACAGTGCACTCAAATCACAGAGTATTAAAATGTTGTATAGAGTTTGGTTGCTGGCAGTATTTTTTTTCCAAATTGACGATTAAAGCTTTTAAAGTTCTGATTCGCCTTATAGCGACATTTTAAATATGTGTTCCCTATTCATGACCAGTCTTAATGACGCCACTGCTTTCACACATCTGATAGTGAATCATTATATTTAAAAGTACCTCGCAAAGGCTCACCTACCTTCCGGTTGCCCTTCTTGACCTTTCTTAAACTAGGACAGCATTGATATTGTAACAACGTCCCATTCACATAGATATTGTACAGTTACAGCCTTCTAGGCTTTAACTAAAATAAAAACTAGAAAAATGTATTTACAAGTTAAAAAAACGACAACTGAAGAAAACATACTTACAAAAACGGCTATAAACAACAAATGTACAACATCAGCGGATACCTGAAATATTTTGCCAGGCACTTGTGATGCGAAAAATACATAATGACACGTTTAATTACTAAAATATAGGACAATAAGAGAAACATAATACCATTTACAGTTATTATGGGTATTAAAATACAACAACCCATAGAGAGTAGAGTGAGAATACCTTCATTTAATGTAACACTACAGCATGACGCTAGTGGTTAGTAACAATATACAATCTGTACCTGAAAAGGTAACAGATGGAGCCGGTGATATAGGTAAGATTACAGTAACCTATCTGCTCCTTTAAAATATGTTACACCTCAAAATAAAAAATAAATGCTAGGTGCTCGGGGTCCTCAGTAAGAATTTGACCAATTCAAATCAACACAACATGCTTTACACTTAAACAAGCTGATTTATGCAAATGCAGATTCCTGGGTTTCAGCTTTACATTTAAGTAATCCAAAACTCTTTCCCTTTACCTCCGTCGGATCATCCCACTTCCTTTGACTTATGTCTCCACTGACGTGCCTTTTATCCAGAGGTCATTGTCCCAGACAATAAAGAAACAAGACACCTGTAGGAGCCAAAATGCTTGTTTTGCCATTACTTATTATTTGTATTATTATCTTCATTTCTGTTTGCATCGCGTTTAATTCTTATTGTTTATCACTTCCGGCAATGGTCACGTGGGTGTGGTTTATTGTTATTTAGGTCACCTGTTGGATGCCGGTTTGGGAGGATATGATGTAGGAAGAGGGTGAATGGCGCTCTGATACTTTCTGTTGAGAAGAATGTAAATGTTTATGGGACCTTTGAGTGCGTTTGGATCGTGCATGCATGGTTACATATTGTAGGCCTATGTGTGTGTATACGTACAGTATGTGTGCTTGTCTGCCTTTATACATACAGTTACATAGTTGCTCATTTTCTTTTCAGTCTGAAGGAGTCTGTGTTGGAGCTCCTGTGCTATGCAGATCGGCCTGAGCACATAGAATAGTGTCTCATGTTGCCTCGCTTAATGACGTGCCCCCCCAGACCACCTGGTTGGCAAAGTCCAGCCTTCAGTTCTCAAAGCACTTGTCGGGTACAAAGAAGAGTCTGCAGAAACCACTTAGTCCAGATTAATTCCTCGCAGCTCAATGTCTTAAATCTTTGCAGAAGGAGAACAGGTTTATTTGAAAAGCATCCTTCCTCAGAGTTGTGATATCCACATCTGGCAGCAAAAGTCTGACATGGCATGTAAATAATGTTGCTTGTCAGGTATTGTCTGGAGACGTTTTTCTCCTCTTTGGTAGCATAGATTTACAAGGTAACATTTAGAGATACAACACTGGCTAATGACGCCATCACTGAGGGAAAGACTATGAATATTTACGAGTAAAGATGTAGGGGATATCTGTATGTTGGATAAAAGATCCAGCAATCCATGTTAAATTCAGTTAGTTGCTGCTTTGTTATGAGAAAAAAAGTGAGAGAATGCTAATCTTGATTGTAAATAATGAAGAAATATGTGTGGATATAGACATGCTCCAAAATGGAATGATTATAGCCAGTTTCCTTTTGACATAGGCTTTACGTTATGTGGATTCTAAAAAGTATTGATAATATGCACATCGTGAAGGGTTGGGCTTGATAAGGGACTTTGGTATTCATTCAGTTTTGTCTAATTTCTGGCGGTTCCCTGTGATTAAACTTGAAAATGATTTCTCAGGACTTACTGTATGGTTTTTGACTGCTGGCTTCTTGAGGGAATAGCTTGAAGCGGTTCTAGCATGAATTATATGGAGTGAGGGTTGCCAAGGAATAATACTAAGGTTAAGGTTTGCTCACTTTAAATCTAGAATCACACTACAGAAGTGGCGGTGGGCTTCGTAGCACTCGGACTCAGCACCAGACTCTGGACGATGTCTTCACGGTTGATCTTGCGCAGCGCCGTGCACAGCGAGTCGAGGCTGGCGCAGTCCTTGCTCGCCCAATCAGACAGGAGCGCGCGGACGGGATGCTCCTCCTGCTGGAAGGTGGCGATCCGCTCCTCCTCGTATCCTAGGAGGCCCGCCAGGTTGCACCAGTCGCTGTCCTCCATGTGGTTGCAATCGTCTCCTTCGCTGCCACTGAACAGCAGCTTCTCCACCTTCTCTCTGGTGTGGAGAGGAAGGAGCAAACACGGCTCTTCATCCATGTTGACAACTGCAGAGGAAACAAACAAGGTTTGAATTTCTATTATTTAAAAGAAATCCCTACAAATCGCTCTCTGATTGACTATTAGAGCACTGAAACAATTCTACATCCTGATTTTAAACTCCCAAGTTGGTCGCAATTATATGAAAAGGAAAAAGTGATTGAGTGTAGAATACAAGTGGTAAAAAAAAGCCCTTGCTAGCTACATAAGCAGCGATAGCCGATCTGACTGACCAGTTCCATTAATACATCATTACAGAAAATCTAAGGAAAATATGCTTCTTTATCCAAACTGTCCGACTGTCATCAGCAGTCCACAGCAAAGATTGCTTAAGACCAAAGTTACCTCCACATATCCCAAATATTTCCACTTTAAAATACTGTGCAAACTGAGAGAGAGCACTGCTGTTTGCCTTTTTTCCCATGCTTGCGCCACATTGTTTTCTTTCTTTACCATAATCTGGGCAAGCATGTGGTTTTAAAAGTCTTGAATTCTCTCAAACTGGTTTGTCAGGACAGGACAGGAAACTGCCAGGTGTTGCAAAAAAAAAAAAACCCTTTGGCTGTCAGTGTTGTAATCCGTGTTTGTTGATTTGCTACAGTACGTTTGAAAGGTCGTATTCACAGTGAAGCTAGCAAACGCTTCATTCCTGAGGGGAAATTCTTTACTGTTGCGGAGGGAAAGTTCAGGGTGTGTACATTCACAGAAAACCCATCAGACTTATTGTGGATTAGAAGACACTCATTACCACAGTATTCAGCGCCAAATAAACACTTACCTATTTGACCATTTAAGCGCGATTGTTCGATTAATGACTACTATTGTATTTATTTTTAAGAAGGTAGTCTCCTCTGTTTGGGTACAGGTATTAGTGTGTACCTGTCTGAGCCTGAGTCTGGCCCTGCTGCTCCTGCAGACTCTGGCTGTCCACAGAGATGCCGCTGTCGCTGTGCAGCTTCTCTCCCTCCGGGGACGGGGTCTGGTTCTGGTTGGCTGTGCAGTTGTTGGCTCCTTGCTTGTTCTGCTTGCAGCTGTTCCACCTGAGCAAAGGGAATAAGACGAGAAGATACAATAAAACATTTATATTAAGTCATGTTTCTGGCCCTCCAAACATCTTTATTCGAATGATTTACTCTCTTTGGGGATATATCTGGCTCTTCAGATGCTGATAGCTCTATGGTGTTCTCCAGCTAGTGGCTAACTTTGCCCATTTGGTGCTGGACATGTTTTGATTTGTTTTTAACTTTCTTGCTAACAGCTGCTTGCTACAGCGACAAACTAATATAAGGAGAGCAGTGAGGGTGTATCAAAACAGGGACATTTCCCTATAACTTAAGAAAATGATATGATGATGCTAAAATTATTCAAACCAAAAACATCATGATTATGTATTATTTTGAGCACTAGACCAGGGGTTCTCCACTGCAGAGACAGGACTACACAAGACTACGTCTGAAATAAAGGGCAACTCAAAATGACTATATGGTAATCCTTCTGTGGTCGTCAGGTATCATGAAGCATCTTTTGTCTTACTCTGTGCTTTTTCCTCACCTCTTAAAGATGATGAAGGCCACGAGGCCGACTACAACGGCGGCCAGGATGGAGCAGTAGATGGGGATGAGTTTGTCGTTCAGATGGTAGATCGGCTCCTTAGAGTCACCATTGGTGGTGGAGCTGGTGGTACTGATGGGGGTTGTGGTGTCCGGAGGGCCCCCTGGTGGAAGGTCGTCGGGTGAAAAGTAATCATAGGTGGGCGTGAAGTTTGAATAGAACAGGGGATCTTCAGAAACTGTAGGAGCTGTGAAAAATGAACCAAAACAGTGAAGTTTAGGAGCTGAAACACCAAAAACAATAAACTGAAAAAGACTTCATCTATAATCAAATCACAGGAAAACATTTTCATCAGAAACATCTCCTGCAGGCTAAACTTTGCCCTACAATCGGCAGCAGCAGATGGAGAAACATACTGTTGACTCTTTGATACGCTGCAGGATATTTTCAGCTACAAGATATGATTGAACTGTATCGATGAATTAAATATGGATCCAAATATGACAGATCTTGATACTCCTACTACTCCTTTTCTACCAGTGTAAACATACATGTTCCTCGTGCCTCCAAACACATACAACATGCACACACACATTAAATCCACATCACGCGGTCATTTCCCTTCCTCCCCAGGGACCCATTAACGTAGGTAAGAGCTATATGTCCATCCAGTCCTGGCCACTTTCCTCCCACCATTAAAGCTAAGCAGTCGTGTTCGCTCCTCACCGCGGATGTAGAAACCTATCCTCGCCTGTCACTTACTTACAGTTACTCACATCGTCAACAGGAAACCATCCCGTTGGCTTGCAAGGGCTGTAAATATCTGGGGAGAGCCGCTGAGCCATTTCTCACTAATGAGAAATAAGTGATAACATTTTTTATTTGGATGGATGCATTGAGCGGCTGAGGGGCTTTTAGCTGAAGGAATTATAAAGATGTGATAAGTACTTTATGGCAACACCAATATGCTGAACATCCTATTAACTTATTATGTTAGAAGTCCATCCTTCTTTATCCTTAACCTCAGTCATTGATTTTTTTTTTCTCACTAAAAATAAGTCTTAATATGATCTTAGTTTCATGTTACTCTAAAGCCCAACAGCAAAGATGTTGCCTTGCAGGCTTATGTACACTGTGCATAACCCAGTTTCATTTAACATGTGACCCTTGATTAGTGTTTTGTTTTGTTAGCAGTATTTAGAGGTCTTGTAGTCCATGCAGTCATATACAGTATCTCTATTTCAAAGGTTTCTGTTAATCATAGACATCTCAGTCTACAGGAATTTCCTCTTTAAGTGGTTTTTAAGTGCATGTAATTTACTAATAGGTCATGCAGCATGCTAAAACACACATGTTTTTCATGTAATGTTATTTAATGTACTATGACTATAAAATATGTTGTGGACTTTGGGTTTATTGCATTACACTTAATTCAAACCCCCCTTACTTCTGTTCTCCTTTGTAAGACTTCCAGGAATCAATTCAAGCTTCAAAAATATTATTAAGCTTTCAAGGACACCACATTATTTACAGCCAGCAGAATCTCTACTAAGATGTTCTACATGTGATACAGAATCTGTAAGAAATGGAACCTTTGTTGGTATTGGAAGCCTACGCCCAGTACTGTCCAATCAGTCATTGGATAAATTCCGGTAAATGTTCAATGCAATCTCAGGACCCATTAGGCATTGTTGGCAATTTGATTTCAAAATTAGTTGGTAGAGTGGCTGCTTGTAAATCAATCGGATCATGGACGTTTGTTTTTATCTCGGAATTTAAAAGATGATTTTTCTTAATATTTCCTTCATAAGTCTAACAATGTGTGCAATACTAAATAGGTGGTGTACTTTTAGTTTAAACACCAATATTATCTGCTAACAAAGTGCGTAAGTAACAGAAAATACAGACAGGCTTCTGAATATGAAGTTCTGCATATCAAATTCCTTCCCGTCCGCTTCAGTATCCCCCCTCCCCATAGACAAACACATACAGACACACCACCAGCACCACCATAGCTTGTCTCTCTCTACCCCTCACTCGAAACCAGACACCATTCATTGACAGAAATCTTCTTTGTCCAGCACAAATGCCCCCTCCTCATCCTTATCATTCAATCCTCTATCCATTTTACCCCCGGCTACACTATTGCTTCAATCAGTCTTGTGGTCATTTGGACGCAATTTATTTTCTCATTACGTCTGGTGAGCCCCCTCTACTGCTAGTAAACACAACATCATTGTTGTCTAACCTTTTCGGTTATATCTTTTATTCATTTTGTTCATTAACCATTTATCACATCCTATATGCTTTACTCTGTGCATTACTGTGCGCTCCTCCCCTACATGAACAGTTAAAACAGGACCCTAAGTGCCTTTACTGAACCTCTCACATCGAATTGTCTGGGCTTAGAGGGGAGTGACCCTCTTCTGCTGAGCTCAGCGTGTTTCCACTATGCAGAGAGCCCAGTGGTTTCTGGACCACTACTCTGTCAGAGATTTATTATGTTTAGACATTTAATGATCTGCTCAAGAACAACTCTCTTATACTGCACCTCTGAGGCTAGCTATTATAATAAAAACACCAAAAACACCCAACCAAATATTGTAAAAATAATCTTCAACTTCATAAAATAGTGTACATAAACATATGCGTTTTAAAGAAAAAAACCACACATGTACAGTATAGCTCATTACATATAAATAATATTGTCATGAAAATAAAAAAGACTCACTGTTTCCTTGTTTTCTTCTACTTAAAGTTTTTCTCATGTATTCATAGTTTCCTTTCTGCCTGTCTCTGAATGTACATTTAGGACTTTCCTGTCTGTCCTGCCCTCCAAATTGCAACAAATTCAAAATAAATAGTGCATGCATTTAAATTAGGATGTTGCAAAGCATGGAATAGGGTAATTGTAAGTCATCATGCCACAAAACAACCTATTCAATGCCTAAAATGTGGGTTGGCATGTGTCTTTGTCTTGTGAAAACCATGTATATTCATATTTTGTGATTTTTAAGGGTTTTCAAATGGGTTCAAACTATTCTATCATGTCTTATACTAAAAAACACTTATATTAAAATGCATCATAAGAGAAAATAAGGATTAGACCTTTTGAAAATAATGTGGATATTTCACGTCTAATACAACGACCTATGGCTACTGTATATCAGCATGATTGTTAGTTTTTCTTTTTGTGTACTTCATAAATACTTGTGATTTTCTTCTACAATACTCAATCTCTGATCCCATCACCAAAATAGGATCCACAAAGATTTATGTTTCCAATTTTTGTATTATAGGAGTGCAAACTTGTGTTACCGGTCAAAATGTGTCTGCAACTTGTCATTGAACATCAGCTCATAAAAACGGAAGGAAGGCGCTGTCAAAATGACAAGCTTTTATTGTAAAGCATTATTTGGTTGTTGGGGGAAATGCTGGAATTGTCCTCCTGGGTTTGTTTGATACTGATTAATGTGTAACTGGAAACATGTATACTTGCCATTATGTGAGTAATAATCAAGACAGATCTTGTTGCTCTCACATATGCAAGCTGTGTGTGTCATTTGTACTTAGTGAGTGTTTCTGTGTGTGTTCTGTAGTGGCCACACCTTGTGTAAAACTCTTAATTTATACCTCTTTCAAACAGGTGCTGCTGCTGTTTCCACAACATAAACTTTAATAGCTGACTTTGGAGTTCAACAAAAAAGGAAAAGGAGGGGTTTCCGACACAAGCAAGTTGTTTTAATAATATGTTATTACTCATGAGCACAGCCGTGACTGCTGTCAGGACCTGCCCGACACCAATGACGTTTTACATCAACATGAAGTGTTCAAGTTGTTACACAATTCAAATTAAGGGATTAGTAAAGACTACGAAGAATGCTGTTGCCCCCGTTTTGTTGATTGATGTTGAACATTGCGATTTATTCTGGCCCAGCATCAATCACTTTCTCTTTTCTCCTTGAGGCCCTTTGGCTCGACTCCTACCTTGCGTGACCCATCAAATGTTTCTGCTAACCTAGTGCAGATTGAACACACCCCTGAATGTGTGTGTGTGTGTGTTCTGCGGCAGAATGTGATCAGCACTCGTAGAGGTCAACCAGGAAACTTGAGAGTGCAGAGGAGTAACTGCATCGCTTTTATCGACCAGGCCTCATTCTCAGCATCTGCTCTCCCTCTCCATCTCTTTCTGTTCTGCAGCTCCCTATCCTCTTCCTGTGTGCTGCTCTCATTCTCATTTATTATCTGTTATACAGTTCAGCTATGGGTTTGCCTTTTTTTCAGTTTCTGGTGCCACTTTGTAATCAGTTATAAAAATTCTAATCAGTGAAATATTTTACTACATAATCTGGCAAACTTTCTTCTTGTTTCCCTATTGTAAAGAGGACATGATAATTTTCAGGTTCATATTTGTATTTTGTGTGACATGTTGACATGCTTTAATTTCAAAAAAGTAAAATAGGGCCCCTTTAAGACATAAGTCCAATACAAACGTATGTGAAAGATGATCGGTAAATATTAGAAACATCTAGCTTGTTCTAATCCAAGTCACCTATCGTGAATGAGCAGTGATATAGAGTAGGGCATCTCTATGATGTGTTTGCACTTACAAACTGAATGGCAGCCAATTTACACATTTTTGTAAAAGCAATATATCTTAATCTCCAGAATTATATTGAATTAAATGGAAAAACTGAAAAGTAGCTTCGACTATGACAGACCTAAATCATTAAATGAGCCCACAAAACAAAGTGCCATGAAATTCCTTCTGTATGCCACATGTTGTTAATTAACTGTAGATCACTATGGCAGATGAAAAGATACATATCACTGAGGGAAAACCTTGGCAGGGACACAATCCCCCAACATGCTATAAATCCTTGAGTCCCTGGCAGAGCGTTTGGCAAAGAATGAACGGCACGAGCGAAAGCGCAAGTGTTGTGCTCACCCTTGCACCAGAACGGCCCACTCATGCCAAATCACCTAAAAAAAAAAATGTACACAGGAATGTCAAGGGGAAAATTCCTGGGGGATGGCAGGCGACTTCAGGAGTCTGAGTCACAGCCAAAGGGGTCAATTCTTGTTTGGCAGCAGAGAAGGAGCCTCAGTCAGCTTTAAAAACCCTTTATTGTTACAATGCTCGTACTGTGTGGAGAAGGGAGCAAAAGGGTGAAGAGAGAAGGTCAGATGTGGCCGTAGCGCAGTGGAGATATGTGTCAGTAGATGTGTTGGAGACGAAGCCGTAGC